GCCCAGAGCCCTCCCCCCATCCCCCCATCTGAGACAGACCAGAGCCCTCCCCACAGAGACCCTCCCCCCACCTCAGACAGACCAGAGCCCCTCCCCAGAGGCCCCTCTCCCAGAACCCCTCCCACCCATCTGACAGACAAGAGTCCCTCCCCCTAGAAACCCCTCCCCCCAGTCCCACCCACCTCAGATAGCCCAGAGCCCCTCCCCCAGGGCCCCTTCCCCTCAGAGCTGCCCTCCCCTCACTCTCGCCCACCCCCACATTCCCAGTCCCCCTCCCCTCAGAGCCCCTCATTGCCACCCACTCCTACACCCTCAGTCCCCCCACCCCCACCCATCCATTGACCTCCTTACCCGCGCACACCCAGCAAGCCCCCCCTCACCTTCATCTTGCTCCTCCCCCCACTACCCCTCACATACGCACCCCTTCCCCTCTCAAGTCTCAGCCCTGACCCTCCCCTTCAGTGATCCCCTGTGTCCCATCCTCCACCTGCTCCCCCTCACTGACCACCCAGCTCTAATCCTTCTCCCTGGGACACCCCTCATCTCCTCCCCTTGGACTCCCTGTGGCCCTTCCCCACCTCAGCTCTCCCCCTGCCCGTGGGGGCACTGTTGGCTCAGGTGGGGGTGCGCCCCTGCTGGGGGAAGTGAGGGCCCGAATGCCCACGCTCACCAACTAGCCCATGGTATTTGGCACAAGAGCCAGCCAGAGTCTGGTCTGGCCAGCCTTTCTGAATCTCCCTCACAGCTTCCATTCAATGCCAGCTTTGTTTTTCATTCCCTCTCCAGCATAGCCATGCAGCACTGCTGGGTAGTTATACTGCTGCTATGTTCCACCCCAGAGGTGGCTGCATTTCTGTTCTGACAGGAGCTGTCTGGTACACACCGACTAAAGTGCTGCTGAACCCTCCAGGATGGAACAAGATTATCTATCACTCTCGCTGACTGCCCCTGTGGTTTGCAGCATCTTCCCACAAGTCAGGCATTTCAAGACCAGAAGGGACTGTTAATCATGTAGTCTGACCCCCTGCATCTCACAGACCCTCACCCAGTGATTCCTGCATCCAGTCCATCACCTCTCTGTGAGCTGGCATCTAGATCCAGTCTTGATTTAAAGAGTTCAGGAGATGGAGAATCCACTGCCCTTCCTAGGTACATTTTTCCAGTGGTTACTTCCCTGCACTGTTAAAAATCTGCACCTTGTTTCCAAGTATGAATGTGTTTAGGTTCAGATTTCAGAGCGGAGCCGTGTTAGTTTGTATCAGCAAAAACAAGGAGTCGTCCTTGTGGCACCTTAGAGACTAACATTTATTTGGGCATAAGCTTTTGTGGGCTAGAACCCACTTCATCAGCTGCATGGAGTGGAAAATACAGTAGAGGTATAAATACAGAGCACATGAAAAGATGGGAGCACAAAACACAACTCCCATCTTGTCATGTGCTCTGTATTTATACTGTATTTTCTACTCCATGCAGCTGATGAAGTGGGTTTTAGCCCACAAAAGCTTATGCCTAAATAAATGTGTTAGTCTCTGAGGTGCCACAAGGACTCCTCGTTGTTTAGGTTCAGAGAGTCCAAGGCCAGAAGGGACCACTCTGATCGTAGTCTGCCCTCCTGCCTAGCACCAGCCAGAGAGCTGCCCCACAATAACTCCTAGAGCAGATCTGTCAGAAAAACAGCCAATCCCGATTGAAACATTGTCAGCGATGGAGAATCCACAGTAACTCCTCACTGAACCTTGACCCAGTTAACATTGTTACATTGCTGGTCAATTAGGGAACATGCTCGTTTAAAATTGCGCAATCCTCCCTTATAACCTTGTTTGGCAGCCACCTGCTTTGTCCACTGCTTACAGAAGGAGCAGCCCGTTGGAGCTAGCTGGTGGGGGCTTGGAACCAGGGTGGACCGGCAGCCCCCCCCATCAGCTCCCCTAAGTTCCCTGTGCGGCAGCTGCCCAGCAGGATAGCAATTGCCAGGCAGTTCAGCCGTCCCACCCCCCACTGCCATGTGCTGAGCCTGTCCTCTGCCTTGAGTTGCTCCCAGGAGCCCCCTGCTTGCTGTGCGGGGGGGAGGGGGTACTAATGTCAGGGTGTCCCCCTGCCCCCCCGCTCCTTTACCCATCGGGCCATCTACACGGAGCAGCGGGGGGACACGACAGGGCTCAGGACGGAGGGAGCTTGCTGGCAGCAGCGGCTGTCTCAACTTGCTGATCTACTTTAAGAGGCAATGTACTTAGAGTGGGGTCAGAGAACTTCAAGGGGCAATGCACGTCAGGGACACGCACATCTCTGTCTCTCTGCCATGCTGTCTCCCCTCCCTCCATTCGTGCTGCCTTGTAGAGTGTGAGGCTACATTAACAACAATGTGTTAACCCTTGAGGCTCAGCCGAGTGCTAGTTCATCATTTAGCAGTAAGGCATTCCCTGGGAAATAGCCCACCCTCTGACTTCACCACCTCAACCAAGCTTCACAATCATCACTGCTGTGTACAGTATTCAATTGTTCAAAACTTATACTGTATATATATAAAATATAGTCTTTTGTCTGGCAAAAAAAAAATTCCCTGGAACCTAAATCCCCCCCCACACACACTTTTAATTAATTCTTATGTGGAAATTGGATTCGCTTAACATCATGTCACTTAAAGTCGTATTTTTCAGGAACATAACTACAACGTTAAACAAGGAGTTACTGCACCACCACCCTCAGTAAATTGGCCCCATGGTTAATTATCCTCCCTGCTAAACATTTTCACCCTATTTCTGGTCTGAATTTGTCTAGCTTCACCTTCCAGCCCTTGGATCACGTTAGACCGTTCTCGGCTAGATTGAGAAGCCCATTATCAAATATTTCTTCCCCATCTAGCTATTACTGATCAACCTTCTCTTTGTTAAACTACATAGATTGAGCCCCTCCTTAAATCTATCATTATAAGGCATGTTTCCTTTAATCATTCTCTTGGCTCTTCTCTGAATTCCCTCCAATTTATGAACATCCGTCTTGAATTGTGGACACTAAACCTTGACGCAGGATTCCAGCAGTGGTTGCACCAGTACTAAACCCAGAGGTAAAATAACCCCTCCACTTCTGCTCAAGATTGCCCTGTTTTATGCATCCCAGAATTGCATTAGCCCTTTTGGCCACAGCATTGCCCTGGGAGCTCATGTTCAGCTGATTATCCACCACAAACCTCAAATCCTTTTCAGTCTCAAGCTGCCCAGAATATAGTCCCCTGTCCTCAGGGGTGGCAGGTTTGTATAATTTTTGGTGGTGCCCAGAATGGGCCCAAGTCCCGCCCCTCTCCTCACCTGCCTAAGGCTCTGA